ACCTAGGATCTTCAGCCAAGACATCCATACCCCACCGAGCAGCCACAATGCTCTTCCACAGTCCCCGGTCCTTCCTCATAAACCTTCGAAGCCATTTCCCATGAAGTGTCGTGTTCATCTCAACAATAGATCTCGGCCCAAACCACTCTCTAGCATAGACATCTTCACATCCTCTCACTTCACAAGATTTTTTTTTAAATGAAAAGGTATAAAAATATAATTCATAGGTGCCATAGGGGGCACTGCTCGTATACAAAACATTTACAATTGTGTTAAGGTGTCAATGATATGTCTAAAATCTTTTATCCTAACAATGTCATGTCCTAATAAGATAGACCCAAAATAATGCAACCATCTATTTTTAAGTTTACTATTCTCTATCTCTTTACTATCAAAGGCTCTACTATTTCTTTCCTTCCATAAAATCCAAAAAACAGTCAAATGAATAATTTTTACAAAATCCCTTTTTTTTACACAAACCATTCCAAGCCCAAACCTCTTCCTGACCGAACCAGCCATGATCCAATTCATGCCCAATAATCTGTAAGTCATACAACAAAGGTTATGAGAATTAGGACACCAAAGCAAAATGTGATTGCATGATTCTGCATCACCCATACATAAGTAGCACCTGTTAACCATGATCAGTCCCTTTTTCATCAAATTGTCAATAGTTAAGATGCTTTCTCTGCAAGCTTCCCACGAAAGCAAGCCATTCTAAGGGGAGCTTTATTTTTTTAGATTTGGGAAGTTGGGAAGAAATCATTCCCGCACTGATCGGACCCCAGAATATGAAAATAATATGTCTTGACAGAAAACTCTTGACTCTTGTCAAGTTTCCACACAATCCTGTCACTACATGTGTTGATCTACTGTGACTCATAAGGTTTTCAATGAAGATTTATATTCATTCACTTCCTAATCATTTAAATTTCTGCTAACATTGACCATCCAAATCACCTTCCCATTAATTGTCTTGTAGGCCTCTTCAATTTTACTTGTTTTTGATCGAGCAATCAGATAAATGCTTGGAAAAGTGCTCATGAGACTGGTATTCTTCATCCACATATCGTCCCAAAATTTAGTATGGTCACCTTTGCCAACGCGCCACTGGATACAATTTTTGAATCTTGCCCAACCCATCATAATTTTTCTCCATAAACTATATCCATGCGGTCAAATTTGTTTTACCAAAAATGAGCTCACCATTTGCATCCCCCCACATCTTCCTCCAAAGCCCATCATCTTCTATAAAGTATCACCACGACAATTTTCCTTGAAGAGTCACATTCATCTTAACAAGAGACTTAATACCAGCCTTCTTTTATATATCGGTTTCTTCACTTCTTCTCAATTGACTAGGTGAAATCTCCTTTTGTCATTGTCATCCGCCGATTGAATGAATTCTATCTCTTTGCTACCTTCACTGGCATGGTAAGAGTGGATAGATAATAAATGGGTAGGTTGGTGAGTGTGCTCTTAATAAGAGCGAGCCTACCCCTTTTCAATAGAAATTTTATTTTCCATCCAACAAGTCGGTTCTCAATGGAATCAATAACCAGTTCCCACGTACAAGAATATTTGTATTTGGAGCCCAAGGGGATGCCCAAATAAATGATAGGTAACTTGGCTGCTTTGCATCCCATAATGCCATCAAGGTGGTTCTCATCACTTGTGTTGCTGAACCTTATCAATTATGTCTTCCCTAAGTTAGGCCAGAAACCAGTTGAAAACACATCTAAGTGCAAGAGATTTCTAACCTTTGGCTGACAAAAAATCAAGGTATCATTGACAAAGAAGAAATGTGACACCTGAACAGCTCTAGAACCCTTCCCAATAGTTATACCTTTCAGCAAGTTCAGATCAATAGCCCTGCTAATCAAAGCATTTAGCACCTCCATTACAATTAAAAACTATAATGAAGAAAGGGGGTCATCCTAGTGCGGCCTTCGTGAAGCAGAAAAGAAATTGGATGGTCTGCCATTAACTAATACCACAAAAGAGGTGGTAGTGATACAACTGTTCATCCAATTAATCCATTTTTTGTACAAAATCCATTCTTCTCATCATGTATGCAAGCAAGTCCCAGCTAAGGTGATAATAAGCCTTCTCCATGACTAACTTACATAGGACCCCTCCTTTTTTGTCTGATATTAATTCATCTATCCCTTTGTTTTCGGCCATAACTGTGTCCAAAATCTATCTTCCACCCACAAATGCATGTTGACGTTCCTCAATAATTTCTCCTAAAACCTTAGACCCAACTTCACTGGATGATATCATCTACTACCCACTTCATCCTCCCAAAGAAATCTACATTGAATATTTCAAGTTCTTTAGTAATCTTTACAGGCACTCAGTGCTGACATGTAGTAGATAAGAAGATTAGTCAATGTACTTTTAGCGTCAATCGACCACCATTCGTTAAAAAACTTCTCTTCTATCCTGCAAGCCTTCTCTCCAATAAGTCAACCACAAGTTCCCAAGTCGATAAATCCTTATACTTAGATCCCAAAGGAATGCTAAGATATCTGATAGGTAGTTTGACAGCCTTGCACCTAACACCCTAGCCAGTCTTTCACCCTCCCAACACCCTAGCCACTCTGTGGATGTAAGGTTATTTTAATACCTTTGTAATTCTTCAACTGTAACTTCAAGCATTTAGTATAAATATGGATAATACTCAATTTTTAGCTGACAGCATTTATTTTGAAGGAAAAAGTATAGTATTAATATACACCAACTACAAAAACTTTACAAATATGTCAAAGTATCAATCAGATCTCCTAAGTCCTCACAAGGGTGGAAGGATGACCCAAAATATAAAACCTAGCGTCTGGAACCAAATATCCTTAATTCTATCAAAAGAAAATTTTGATAATAGACTCATAAATAGTACAATGGTCTTATATTTAACATATTTGTGGTTTGCAATCTATTTGGGCAATATAGAGCTAATTAATTCTGCATCAAGTGGATGTTGGCTTTTCTAGTTGCACCTAGTGCATGGAAGAAATTGTTCAAATAGGAGATTGCACTTGTGTTCTGTACGACACATTATTTTTTTCATCAATTTACTTTTGCTCCTCTGATTCTTAAAGCGTAACTAAATGCTTCCTTTAAATTAAATCTTCTGTGTTGAAGCATTGTGATATCATGAAAGTGGGATAATGTAAAAATGGTAGTGTGACTGTGACCTGTAAATTGGAGTTGGTACATTAACCTAATTGCTAAAAATATACCTGAAGTGTTTAAAGTTACCCTTATGGGAAGCAGGTGCGGAGGCATTCATTTAGTGAAGTCGGAGGAGGTGAAGAGACCTACTTACAGTGGAGGGCTTGGGTTAAGATCCATTATGGAGTTGAATTCTGCATTACATGGTAAATGGCTATGGAGGTTTGTGAATGAGGAAAGGAAATTGTGGAGGAAAGTGGTGGAGACTAGATGGGCTGATTGGGAGAGGGATGGGGGGAGAAGAGGGAAGTATAGGCGTCACGGGGTGAGCATGTGAAAGAAAATCTATGTGACAGCAGCAGAATTTTGAATTGCATCAGATGGCAGTTGGGTAATTGCGGTGGCATTAGTTCTGGAACGATGTGTGGGTTGGAGATTTCAAGCTAAAAGATAAATTCCCTAATATTTTTTAAATTGCTTGTGAGAGGAATATTTTTGTGGAGAAGGCATATGAGAAGGGAGATGGTGCAACTGGGTGGTGTATTCAAGTCAGAAGAAATTTGAAGGAGGGGGAAGTGGCTGAATATTGTAATCTGCTTCTCTACCTAGTTGATATTAAGGTGGGGAATCAGAGGGATAGGAGGATTTGGAAACCAGATAAGAATAGGTTTTGCTGTGATATCTTTCAACAATTACATAGTTAAGAAAGATGCAGAAAATGGTATGGCAGCACCCTTCAAGCAAATCTGGTGGTCCAAAGCTCCCCCTAGAATGGTTTTCTTTACTTGGGAAGCTGCTAGAGAAAGTATTTTGACCATTGATATGCTGAGGAGAAGAGGCAATATTCTTGTTAACAGATGTTACATGTGCAAAGTTGATGAAGAATCGTGCAACCATCTGTTACTTTGGTGTCCAGCTATGCACAACATTTGGGTGTATGTGTTTGGGATTATGGGGTTGAGTTGGGTTATGGCGGGTAATGTAAGTAAAGAGTTTTGGGCGTGGGTTGGTTTATGTAAAAAGAAAAACCAATAACTTTTATTTCC